GGCTTCTTTGCCCATTTTATTATATTATTACTTTTTTTTTTTTTTTGGTCTTTTTGGGACAGGGGCCCCCTGTAGCCCCAGCTGTCCTGGAACTCACTATGTAGACCGGGCTGGCCTTGAACTCACAGAGATTTGCCTGTCTCTGCCTCCTGAGTGCTGGGATTTAAGGCATGCACCACCATACCCGGCAAAATAAATCATTCAGTAGTACTGCATTCAGCTGCTATAATCAAGCTGATTATATTGAATTGGAATTTTTTTTTCCTTTTTAGCATGCCATTAATCTTTTTTTTTTTTTTTTTTGTCTTTTTGAGACAGGGTCTCTCTCTGTAGCCCCAGCTGGCCTAACTCACTATGTAGACTAGGCTGGCCTTGAACTCACTGAGATTCCCTGCCTCTGGTTACTGAGTGCTGGGATTAAAGGTGTGTACCACCATGCCTGGCTCCTTTGCTGATTTTAAACTGGATCATGTAACTTTTTTGGATCATGTAAATTTTTTTGGTTGAGTTCTAAGAGTTCTTTACATATTCTAGGCTTGAGTTTTTTTTCAGATATGTGGTTTGCACATATTTTCTCAGTGTGTACTTTATTTTTCATACCATTAATAGTTTTTTTGTTGTCCCCACACTTTCTAGGTTTTAATATTGTCAATTAAATTACACATAGAGAGTGAGAAAAGGGGCCAGGGTCCCTGTACCTCCCTGAGTATCATAAACCTCCAATAAGCTCGCTTCCTTCCACCAACCCCACTTCTCAAGTTTCTACCATCTCACAACAGCTCATTCAGTGGGGGCCCATCTTTTTTTTTATCACTCACGGGGGAAATTTGAGATCGAAACCATAATATTTTACTCTTTGCCCTTGAAGGTTCATGTCTATCTCATAATGCAAAATACATTCAACAAATCTTCTTGGTTCTGTTTTGGTTTTTTGAAACAGGGTCTCACTATGTAGATCATCTATTTTGTGTGTGTGTGTGTGTGTGTGTGTGTGTGTGTGTGTGTGTGTGTGTCTGTGTGTCTCTGTGTGTCTGTGTGTCCATGAGGTTTCCAGTCCTGAGTGACACATCAACAATGCAACCTCTACACCTAAGGCTCAGGGAACATCTTGGGAGAGAGGGTGGAAAGAATGGAAGAGCCAGAGGGACAAGACACCTGCTGCTAGTTATACATTCTAGACAGGACAGGTAAACTACACCAATGAAATCTCCACAGTCTAACAAGATCTGCATAATGATAAAACCAGTTGACATACCTAGGAGGATGGGGGAAATTTCATGGGGTCCCACCTCAAGATGAAGAGCTACAGGATCAATGGATGCTGAAGAAGGGAGAATCAGTTTTCTTTAGGGACGAGCTCCCTGATAGGTTATGGTTATTTAATCCCAAGTGGTCATCCCTAAGCACATGTACACATGAGCACCACTAAGTGAACTCAGTGCATTTTATGTGTGTGTGTGTGTGTGTGTGTGTGTAAAACTAATAATTAAAGATGAAGACAAGAAATTGAGAGGGAATGGGGGGGCATGGGAGGAGTTGGAAGGGGACTGGGAGGGATGGAAATAATGCATATACTTGTTATTTTTTTGGTCCTTTTGAGACAGAGTCTCCCTGTAGTGGGGCTGGCCTGGAACTCACTATGTAGACCAGGCTGGTCTTGAACTCACAGAGATCCGCCTGCCTCTGGCTCCTATATGCTGGGATTAAAGGTGTACATTACTATGCCTGGTGCAAATACAATACTTGTATATAAAATGGTCAAAAATAAGCTGTGTGTGGTGGTGCACGCCTTTAATCCCAGCACTTGGGAGGCAGAGGCAGGTGGATCTTTGTGAGTTCGAGGCCAGTGGTCTACATAGTGAGTTCCAGGACAGCTGAGGCTATAAGGAGACCCTGTCTCAAAAAGACCAAAAAATGTTCAAAAATAAAAAAAGTCCATGAAAATTACATTATGCATGTATGTATGTATGTTTGTATGTATGTATATAGGTGTGTGTATGTATTTAGTGGTGTGTGTGTGTGTGTCCCATTCAAGGCATGGTGCAGAGGACAAGTTGTGGAGTTGGTGCTCTCCTTCTGTCATGCAGGTCTGGGAGACTGAATTCAGGTCATCAGCCTTTACTTGGTGAGCCATCTCAGAGGCCCCTCCTTGGTTTTAATAGTGGTTCAAGTATAGCTCAAAAGTCCAAGTCCAGCTGGGCATGGTGGGGCATGCCTCTAATCCCAGTACTGGGGAGGCAGAGGCAGGTGGATCTCTGTGAGTTCAAGGCCAGCCTGGTCTACATAGGGAGCTCCAGGCCAGCTGAGTCTACAGGGAGCCTTTCTCAACAGCCTGGTCAAAAAAACAAAAAAAAAAAAAAAAAAAAAAACAAAACCCAAAAAACAACAACAACAACAAAAAAACCCAAAAAAACAAACAAAACAAAACAAAAACCCCACACAAACAAAAGAAAACCCCAAACAAGTCCAAGTCCAAAGTCTTATTGGAGAATCAAAGAAAATTCAGCTTCGATGCTCTGTTAGCAGGGTCTTGTGAAAAGCAGTGTAATTTATTTTATTTTACTTGTTTTATGTGCATGAGTGTATTGCCTGCATGTGTATAAGTGCACCTATGTTGTGCAATGCCCAATGAGGTCAGAAGAAGGTGTTGGATCCCCTGGAACTGGAGTTACGGATGGTTGTTAGCTGCCATGTGGGTGCTGGGAATCAAATCCAGTCCTCTGTAAGAGCAGTCAGTGCTCTTAACTGCTGACCCATCTCTCCAGCCTCACAATTTAATTTTAATGAATTCTATTTATTATTTTTCTTTGGTGTAGTACGTAATAACTGTTCACTAACCCTTAGATTCCTCCATTTTCTTCTAAAATTTCTTTCTTCTTTGTTTTTCTTTTCTTTCTTTCTTTTTTTTGAGAAAGGGTCTCTCTGTAGCTCCAAATGGCCTGAAACTATACTTTTCTTTTGGTCTCTGTGGGCATGACATGGTGCACTTACATACATGCAGGCAAAACATTCATATACAAAATAAAAAATCAATATTGCCCAGCATAATGGCATATACCTTTAATCCCAGCACTTGAGAGGCAGAGATAGAGGCAGGCAGAGCTCTAAAATCAAGGCCAGCCTGGTCTACATAGTGAGTTCCAGGAAAGCAAGGGCTACAGGGAGACCCAAAATAAAAAACAAAAACAAACAAAAACATTTTTAAAAGAAGTGCTTAAATTAGGGGTTGGGGATTTAGCTCAGTGGTAGAGCGCTTGCCTAGCAAACACAAAGCCCTGGGTTCCGTCCTCAGCTCCAGGAAAAAAAAAAAAAAGTGCTTAAACTGGACGTGGCGGTATACGTCTTTAATCCCAGCACTTGGGAGGTAGAGGCAGGTGAATCTCTGTTCAAGGCTAGCTGGGGCTACAGGGAGACCCTGTCTCAAAAAGGCCAAAAAAAAAAAAAAAAAAAAAGTGCTTAAGAGGCTGGAGAGAGACTGCTCAGCAGTTAAGAGAACTGACTGCTCTTGCAGAGGGCTCAGGTTCAATTTCCAGCACTCACACTGCAGTTAGCAACTGTCTGTAACTCCAGATCCAGGGTATTAAAAGCCTTCATCTGACCTCCTCAGGCACTGCATGACACAGGTATACTTACACACATGCAGGCAATACACTCATACACACAAAATAAAATATAAATAAATAAATGATAAATAAAGAAATAAATAATAAAAAGTGCTTAAGACATAGGGTCTCAGCCAGGTGTGGTGGCCATGCCTTTAATCCCAGCACTTGGGAGGCAGAGGTAGGCAGATCTCTGAGACTGAGGCCTGGTCTTCATAGGGAGTTCCAGGACATCTGGGACTACAGGGAGACAGTGTCTCAAAGAACAAAGGAAAACAATAAACAAAAAGACACAGGGTCTCTTGTTTCTCAGGTTGACCCTGAGCTCCTGGTTTGAAATGATCCTTGTCCTGCAACCTCCCAAGTAACTGGGACTACTGGCAGACTCCACCTTTTCCTACTTAAGTTAATTTTTAATTTTTTAATCTTTTTAATTTTTTTTTTTGGTCTTTTTGAAACAGGGTCTCCCTGTAGCCCTAACACTTTAGGATTCACCAACATTTTAGACTTTCTTATCCTGTCTCTAAATTTCCCTTCCCTGCTGTGCAGCTGCTAGTTCAACATGTGTCTGATCTCTATGGCAGCCTTTTTTTTTTTTTTTTTTTTTTTTTTTTTCCCCTTCCTTTGGGCAGCCACTGAGATTTATGGCTTTTCAGCCTTGGAGGTTTTTCTTTAAAACTAATTTTTCTTAAGTTTCAAAAAAATTTTACTTGTAATATTTCTATCTTCCAAATAAATTTTATTTTCAGATATATGTGTTACAAATATCTCCTCTGACCTATTGTCTTTTCTCTTACTGGTGTCTTTGATGTTGACTTTTTTCAGCTTTTAGTATTTATGTTCTGCTGAGAACTATTTTGCCTTTCTATGACCATGATATTTTACTATTTTCTAGAGTTATACTTTGTTCACATTTAGGTCTGTGCACTGTCTAGAATCTTTTTGCATGAGGTAGAAAGGTCAAGGTTCTTTTTTTCTTCTTTTCCTTTCTGGGTATGATGGTACACATCTTGTCATTCCAACACTTAGGGGGTTGAGGCAGGAGGATCAGGAATTGTAGTCCAGCTTAGGCTTCATAGTGAGATCCTGCCTTAGAAAGTTTCATTTTTCCCCTCAATTGATAGACAGGAACGTTCCTAGTTTTATAGCAGTGGGAGGAAAAGTGACTACTTATGGGTATGTCTGTTTCTAGCTTCTCTCTCTTTTTTTTTTTTTTACTGGCAAATAAAATTCCCCCCAAATCTTTGCGCCAATATCACATTGTTCATTATACTAATGTTTATAACTATAACATAAATGTTTGTTTTGTGAGACAGTGTCAGGTAGCCCAGGCTGAGGATGACCTTGAATGCTTGATCCTCCTAAGGGGTGGGCTTACAGGCGATCTGTAGCACGTTTATTTTTTCCTGAAAGTGAACGGAACCCATATCATTACCTTCCGAATTTCCCCTCCGGAAGATAAAAGGGGAGGGCTGTGTTTGCATCATTTCCGAGCGGGAGGATGAAGTTGATTGCCTATGGTTTCCCCGGCCAGGTAAGTGCTGGGTACCAGGAATCTCCGTGTGGGGAGTGAGGAGGGCAGAGTCCGGTCTGGAGCTGCCGCTGGTGCTCCGGATCCTTCGGGAGACTCCAGCTGGGGAGGCCTCAGGCCCTGAAGGCTTCCGGCTCCCCGTGAGCGCCAAACCGGGAAGGAAGGCTGGTTCAGGAAGGAAGACCGATTCAGACTGGAGTCTTGGCCAGGGCGTGTTCTGTTGCTGGAGTCCCCTGGTCGGCAGCCCCGGTGGTCCCGGAAAACCACCACAAACCCACAGCCCCTGAAGTGCGTTGGTGGGTGTTTGCGTCTGGCTTCTGCACCCCAGCTTCTGTACCCCAGCTTCTGCACTCCGCTTCTGCACCCCGCTTCTTTTTTTTAATTTATTGAGAATTTCATACACACATACAAGGTGTTTTGATCAAATCCATGCTCATTTCCTCTGCTCCCATATCTTCCCATCACTTTTTTCTGATAACTTGTACTGTTTCTTGTTTTTTTTTTTTTTTTTTTGTCTTTTTGAGACAGGGTCTTCCTGTAGCCCAGCTGTCCTGGAGCTCACTTTGTAGGCCAGGCTGGCCTTGAACTCACAGAGATCCGCCTGCCTCTGCCTCCCAAGGGCTGGGATTAAAGGCGTTGGCCACCACACCTGGCTCTTCTTTTTTTTAATTAAAAAAAATTTTTTTATGGGGCTTTTTGCTACTCTAACATTCCTCCCTCTGAAGAGGTAACCCTAAAATCTTTTAAGGATTACATAAAAGCTCCCAAATATTTTCAACATTTTGGCCTTAGGAACAGAGTATGTTGCTAACAGGCCCAAGGACGTTGACTTTTAGCCAAGAAACTGGCTAGTTTTCTTTGGGGTCTTTTTCCCCTACTGCCTAGCCAATTCCTACCTCCGATTCTTATCACACCATCCTCTGAAGAGGTTACCCAACTTGCAGATTGGGAATCGGATGCAGACCCCTCTGGCTTCTTCCATGCTGAACAGGGGCAGGGTGAGGCAATTGGGGTACCCCTTCAGTGGGTCTATCAAAGATTCCCAAGTTGCATAACTCTTATCTGTAGGGAGAAAAGAAAGTCCTTGATTGGTGAATAGGGGATGTGAAGGAGAAGTAAAGGCAAGCTTTACAAGTTCTAGACAGGGAACCAGAGAAAAGTCAGAACAGGGAAAATTTGAAATGTTCGTATCAGAGTCCATTGGGATTTCTTGATGAGAGCTTCCAAAAGCATCCCTCTATTGGGTTTCTCCTCATTTTTCTTTTGTCTACCAAGGCTGGACTCGAGAGTGATGGATTCAGGATTTCCTTTCAGATATTTTGATAGCTGTTGGAGTGGTTGGAATCAGTGTCAGTTCCCTATCAAAGGCTTCTAGAGAGGGGAGAAAACAAATTTATGCATCATTTTAGAACAATATCCGGTTGTCTCCCTTAGCTACAGGTGGGCATTACAGTATTGCAGACCAAGATTTGAAGTCTTACCTCTGAGCAGCACTTGCTGGTTAGGAACAAAATCATCAATGAGAAATATTGTCTAAACTTTTTATATGGACTTAAACCTAATGTCTGGGAAGTATAATCCCTTGAACCCTTAAAGAAATATACTTATGACTTTACTCTTTGGTTATACTTTCCTTTTGGGTGTTTAAGACCATACAGTTGGCCCAAATAAATCAATTTATTTTTACACTTAAGGTTGTTTGAGGATCTGTTCCTCAGGGGTCACATGGGCTTGGAGGAGTCCTTGGTGCTTTTCTTTTACCAGTTCCATCTATGTGAAGATAAGTCAAAGGTCTTACTCAATCATGGCTGGCTTCACTTGGAAGCATGGAGGAAATGTTTCCTCTGAGTTGACCCTCCTCTTCATAGACTGGACACTGGTTCAAGTCCATCTGTTGGGGTCTCCATGGCCTCCCTGAACAAGAGGACAGGTGACTCACCACAGTTATAGGACATTTGAGAGCGGTTCCATAGTCCCCTGGAACTTAGTCGACCTTGGAGGGTAAGGGGCAAGAACTGTCCTTTAAGTCCATCTGACCAGATTAGTAAAGGCCTCAAAATATGTGTTCTGGTTTGTTTCTTCATTGCTGTGACAAAATACTCTGACCACTACCAACTTGGGGAGGAAAGGGTTTATTTAGCTTATATACCCCGGCTCACACTTCATCCGGGAACCCAAGGTAGGAACTCAGGGCAGGAGCTGGAGCACAGGCCATGGAGGAATGCTGCTTACTGGCTTGCTCTCCTGGCCTCTGCTCAGTCTGCTTTCTTATGCAACACAGGCCCACCTGCCCAGGGGTGGCACCACTGACAGTGGGCTGGGCTCTCCCACATCACTCATCAAGAAGATGCCCCTCAGACATGGCCACAGGCCAGTCCAATAGAGGAAATCCCCCAATTGAGGTTCCCTCAACCCAGGTGTGTCAAGTTGACACTAAAGCTATCCAGCACAATTGATCCCTTGTCAACTTGACACACAAACATCACTGTTAAACCATAAACTTTCCAATTTTTATCCCCAAGATATGATGTTAATATCACAACATAAGACAGTACAACCTTAAGAACCCCACAATCCTTAACAAATCCAAATGCTTAAAAGTCCATAGTCTCTTTTAAAAATCTTTTGACTGTGGGTGGGCTTCTGTAAAATCCAAAACAAGTACTGTCTTCAAAGGGAAGAATCAGGCACACCTAAGCAAAACCAAGGTCCAGCAAAGTAGCTTGAGGCTGGACATCTGTCTGGGATTCACTCATGATCTTCTGGGCTCCAAAGGGTACTGGCAGCTCTGACTCTGCAGTCCACAGCACACTCAGCTCGTCTTGCAGACCCAGGCCAGCTCCATTCCACACGTACTGCTGTCCTTGGTGGCCGTTCTATGGTCCCAGCATCTCCAAAAAGCTGGGGTCTCCACTGAAACTGAGGCTACACCTTCATCAATGGCCTCTTCTTGCCTCTTAGGGTGCAAAGCCTCAGATTCTCTCCATGACCCCTACAATCCTGGGGTCTTAACTGCAACTGAAGCTGCATTTTCATCTGTGGCCTTTCCTGGCCTCTCAGAGTGCCAAGCCTCAGCTGCTCTCTGTGACCCTTCACACTTTCAACACCAGAACCATGTAGGAGACTCTTACACATTACCAAGTCCTGCTTCCAGCTAGAGATGGAGGTTTGGGTCCCCTCTGTGTGCTGACCCTGAGGAAGTACCTCCCAGAAGATCTCGCCACAGTGATGCTGGTCTCTTGTTACTTACAGCTGATCTTGCAGCCCCAGCTAACCAGCATCAATTGTCCCAGCAAAGCAAAGGCCTTACTTCAGGTTCTGTTCTCTTCTTAATCACAGCTGATTCTTCAGCCCCAGCCCACCAGAATGCACAGATTCTCAATTCAAAACATCACAGGAACAGCCCTGATAGTCTCCACTTCCCTTTGAAGCTTCACAAGCCAGGCCTCTGCTGTTCACAGCTCTTTCAGCATAACTGTTCTAAGCACCACAGCAACAAATTCAGCACTAAATGGCTTTTCCAGCCCAAAGTTCCAAACACTTCCACAGTCTTCCCCAAAACACCAAGGTCAGTCTGTCACAGCAATATCCCACTCCCGGTACCAATTTCTGTTCTGGTTTGTTTCTTCATTGCTGTGACAAAATACTCTGACCACTACCAACTTGGGGAGGAAAGGGTTTATTTAGCTTACATATCCCGGCTCACAGTTCATCAGGGAGCGCAAGGTAGGAACTCAGGGCTGGAACCTGGAGGCAGGACGTGGAGCACAGTCCATGGAGGAATGCTGCTTACTGGTTTGCTCCCCTGGCCTCTGCTCAGCCTGCTTTCTTATGTAACACAGACTCACCTGCCCAGGGGTGGCACCACCCACAGTGGGCTGGGCCCTCCCACATCACTCATCAAGAAGATGCCCCTCAGACATGGCTACAGGCCAGTCCAATAGAGGCAATTCCCCAGCTGAGGCTCCCTCAACCCAGGTGTGTCAAGATGACACTAAAGCTATCCAGCACAGTATGGCTGTTAAACATCCAATAAGATTAGTTCCACCAGTCTAGTACTTTTAATGACCGTGTGCTATGTAGATAATGCTTGTGTACCACTTCTCCACTGCATGGCTACACCCAGGGCTAGAAGCACCAAGGCCCTTGGCAAGTAAGCTTGGTCAAGGTTAAGATTTCAAAGGAGAAATGTTTTTTCAGAAGAATGGGGAAGGTGCTAACTCTTGAACATCCATGACAATGGCTCTCTTAGATTAGACACTTGGTCACCAAGAGTTTAAGACATTTACCCAAAGTTGCAGGGGGGAAGTAGCAGAGCAAGGACTGGAAGACTGTTTCTTCTGCTGTAATTTTAGGAATAAGTCTGTAGTGAAGTGTAAATTAGGTTGTGCTTGCAAGATTCTTTGGTAGTGACTGGCACAGGTACTCAACAAATAATATATAATTCTTTTATCAATTCCTTTTTTAAAATTTATGGGTTTTTTTTTTTTTTTGGTTTTTTTTATAAAGGGGCTCCCTGTAGCCCCCAGCTGTCCTGGAACTCACTATGTAGACCAGGCTGGCCTTGAACTCACAGAGATCTGCCTGCCTCTGCCTCCCAAGTGCTGGGATTAAAGGCGTGCACCACCACGCCCGGCAAAATTTATGTATTTTTAAAAAAAAATTTTTATTTATTGTTTTTATGTGTATGCGTATATTGCCTGCATGTAGGTAAGTGCCCCTATGTTGTGCAATGCCCACGGAGGTCAGAAGAGGCTGTCGGATTCCCTGGAACTGGAGTTATGGACACTTGTTAGCTGCCATGCAGGTGCTGGGATTCGAACCCAGGTCTTCTGCAAGAACAGTTAGTGTTCTTAACTGCTGAGTCATCTCTCCAGCCCCCACAAGAGATCTTTTTAAAAAAATATTTTATTTATGTGTATGAATGTTATGCCTACATGTATGTAAGTGATACAAGTGCACCAGTGTTATGCATTGGATCCCCTGGAACTGGAGTTGTGGAT